ATACAAAAAGTTAATAGATTCGCAGAACACTTACAAAATACCTTCCAACCAAATTAAGGAGAAGAATTACAGAACTAGGCTCCTTGTTGTCTAATAGAAGGGCCAAGTCCAAAAAGTATTTGGTTGGCTGTTTTCTTGGCTAGTATATCACCAAGATGGATACCTTCCGATATGGCTTGACCTTTGAACATTCTTGGAATACTGCACTAAAAGTATGGTTTAAACAATAAAAAGGTACATAAAATGTTTGTTGCTGTCGAGTTGAGCGCGTTGGAACATACAGATTTATTTTTGTTAGAAGTTCAGTACAGCTGCATCTGCCATTAATAATTTTGAAAAGTAATGTCAGGTCTCTCTGTTTCCTCCTTATTTCCAAAGAAGGGATGTTTAGAAAATTCTCTCTCAAATCATACTCGCAAAGGACGCCCAATTTATAGGCTATGTATCTAAGAAATGTATGGTGCATATTTTCTATGTTTCTGCTTTGCGTTATGTAATGTGGAGACCAGACAGAAGAGCAACAATCTAGGTCAGGTCGGACTAGTGCACAATAAAGGACTTTAATTGCAGTTGTGTCAGTAAAATCATGTGTTAGCCTTTTAATAAAACCTAACGTTTTCATGGATTTATGGATAGCCTTAGGTATGTGTTGATTGAAGCTTAAAGTAGGATCTAGAATAATTCCAAGGTCTTTAATTTGATTAACAGACTCCAAGATATGACTATTTAAGATATAATCAAAAGTAGTAGTTGGTACATGGGATCGATAAAAGTGCATGACATGACACTTTATGGTATTCATGTCCATGCCATTTAGGGAACACCAGTTTGATAGATTATCAAAGTCAGACTGAAGCCAGAGGGCATCATAAATGGTTTTAATAATTAGGAAAACTTTTAAATCATCTGCAAACAATATTGCTTTGCCATACTGAAAACAATGAATGATATCATTTATAAATAAGTTGAATAATAAGGGACCAAGGTGTGATCCTTGAAGAATACCTAATTTAACTTGAAATGAGTTGGAATAGTGATGGTTTACTCTAGCCATTTGAGTTCTGTTCGTAAGATAGCTACTAATCCATTGCAGTACGACCCCATTTATGCCATATTTATCGAGCTTTTGAATTAAGAGAGAATGGTTGACCCTGTCAAAAGCCTTAGAAAAGTCTGGCAACCCTTCTCCAAAGCTTTCGACAGGAAGTCGACGTAGGTAACTAGATTTAATTCAGTCGATTTCCCAGCACTTAAAGCGACTTAAAGATGATTGATGGTGCCATTTGACTTACAGGTGAGGAAAACCCGAAAAACCTCACCCGCCATCATCGAGACGGTAATGCATGGCGATTTTATAATCTGCATGTCATATCAACAGAAATTGAATGTCTATTAATATGGCACACATCAAATCCGATACCGAACCATGAAATTTAATTAAAAATCTACATGATTTTGTATGGGATTCGAAGCCCGTTTGTCTCTGACCATAAACTTGCCTATAAATGAATATAAACGCGTGAGACTGCTACACCACCGACCCGATAAACTTAAATCGCGTCTCTGAGGTAAAAGACCTCGTAATGTTTTTCGATAGTAAACTTTTATTTGACACACATATAAATGCGCTAGTTCAGTGATGATGTAATTATGGTTCCACTGACAATTAAAGTGACAGTAGATTTTTTGAGTGCATTATGTTCGCTTTGTTTACCTAAATTATATCGTTTTTTTTTTTCACTTTTATAAATATATTCCTAAAGTAAGTAGATAGCATGTATCAATATACAATCGTTTAGTTACCAATTACATACTTTTAAACTATTTTTATGACCTGTAAAAAATGTTTTGAAATAAAATAACAACAGTAAAAACGTAAATGTCAAATTTATTGATGTTTTTGTTAAAAGTATGGTTAAAATTAAATGTCAGTGGAACCAAAATGACATCACACTGAACTAGCGAATTACATTTATAGAGAAGCAAATAAAGCATTAGGCTTCCTTAACAGGATTGTCATGATTTTAAAAGTATTGATTCTACTCGAACTCTGTATATGGCATATGTCAACAGTACGGGTACCGTAATTTAGAACCCTCAATATAATATTTAGATAGATAGATTGCAAAACTTACAGAATAAATTTGCAGTGTATGTTGATAAAAAATTTAAGCATAGTTCGCAAAATGTATATGCCATAAAAAAAGATTTAAAACTTATTTCATTATCTGACAGGAGACAATTTTCAGATATCAAATTTATTTTTAAAATTGTAAATAACCAAATTGACTCCAGTGCCATCTTAAGTAAAATACAATTTGTTGTTCCCTCTTATAATACTAGAAATAAATACATTTTTAATATTGTTACACTGGCTTTTGGTATCACAATTTATTTTAACTCAACTTTACAATAACTCAATTCAACTTTTACAATAACGATACAACGAATTCGTATACCTTCTCTAATCTTTCTTTTAAGTTCTGTATGTACGTGGGAGGAGTACGAATCTCTTCTTCACCAGGAGGTTGCCTTCCAAAAAGAAGATAATGGGGAAGTTTCATCTCCCTTCCAGTAATCATCATGGATGGAGTATAACTAGTCGTTTCATGTTCAGAATTTCGGTAGGCTAGCAGAAATAGAGAAATTAAAGTGTCCCAGTCCTTTTGATTATCAGAGACGAACATTGAAAGATACTGGCATATCGTTCTGTTGTGTCTTTCTACCATTCCGTTGGACTGTGGGTGTAGAGGCGTAGTGCGTGTTTTCTTGATGTCTAACAGTTTCATTAATTCTTGCCATAATTCGGATTCAAAATTTCGTCCTTGGTCAGAATGTAATTCCAGGGGAATCCGTGTCTCGCAATAACGTTCGTCATAAATGCTTCTGCTACTGTCGTCGCTTCCTGATTAAGAATAGGCACTATTTCAGGCCACTTTGAAAAATAGTCCATAACAACCATCAAGTATTTGTTTCCGCTTTATGTTAAGGGAAGTGGTCCGAGGATATCAATGGCGATTCGTTCGAAAGGCTCTCCGGAAAGGTACTGTGTCATTTTACCTCTACTTCTTGTTTTGGGTCCTTTTATGCCATTACAGAGGTCACATTCCTTACACCAATCTTCTACATCTCGTCGGCAATTGACCCAATAAAATCTTTCCCGAACTCGTGCAAGTGTCCTTTTAGTACCAAAGTGTCCTCCTGAACGGCTGCTATGAAGCTCCTCCAATACATTTCTGACCTGTGATTTCGGCAGAATCACTTGGCAGACTACATGTACTCCATTAGGGCTCTCCCAGGTTCGAATCTCACCGCTGTCACCAATGTTACACTGGCTTTTGGTATCACAATTTATTTTAACTCAACTTTACAATAACTCAATTCAACTTTAACAATAACGATACAACTGATAACATTAACATGTAACGTCTATCATAAAACTCCACTCTGACGTCAGGTCGTCGACTTATATAGCTTGCTTGACCTTCTCGAACCTTCTCGATCTGTCATCTAGAAGGTTCTTGACGGGTAATGACATTTCTGGAATATTCCATCTTCTTTTTTTTTTGGTGTGTCATCGGCTTCAACTACCAGGGTTATTTCGCCTCGTGTTCTGTGTAGGCTTTGTTACTGTTTCCCAGCGCCACTTTAGGAACAGTACTGTTAATTAGAACCCAAAAGTGAATGGTCGAGTGGGGAATCCTACCAAGGCATCAGAATTAATTTTAAATGAAAAATTCCGGCCAACAGTGGGATTCGAACCCGGGACCCTTGGATCCACAGGCAGAGGCTCTACCACTGAGCCAACCACCCGTTTCCATCTTCTTTTTCTATCTGTACAATATTAATCAAAGTTCCACAAATTACTACCTAAACTCTCCTTTGCAGAAATGTAGCAAATCGTTCAACTCAATCTCAACTCTGACTGATATTGACATTTTTTCTGATTTTTTGATAACTTTCACCAATAACTTTTTATCTTTCATATTTAGATTAAGTATTAATTTCTTATTTTTTTTTCCATCTCATTTAATATACCTTTATACCATTATTAATCACTAATACTTTTTGTATGCTTAGATTTAGGTTTATAATAATTGTGAAAACTGTTTCTGGGTTCGTCCCGTCTTGTTTTCCTTTTTGTAGAAGTAAATAAATAAATAAAAGTAATAAGGGCAAAATTAATCCGAATAATAAATCGGTAGTATATAAATTAAATTGCGGTAGTTGTCCAAAATTGTATATTGTTTATTTCGAAAAAGGCTATTTAGAACATTACAATAGTTATATTAAAAACCAAAAAATTCTTCTTTTTGAAATCATATTTTGGCTGAAAATCAATTTTTTATAGAATATTTTGAGATTTCCGTAGGTAGAGAGCATTAAATTAAACCATTTAAAGACACTTAAAATAAATATATATAAAAATTCAGATAACCTATTAATTATCAATTAGATATTAATAACTCATCTTTATTAAATATCTACCTGTTCTTAGTTTTTTGTGAGATAATCCTGGTAAAGATAATAATAATTGTATTAATATATTTCTTAATTATTTTAACTAATAGTTAGTTGTATATATATATTAATCACTGAAATGTAAATTAGTCACATTTCAAGAATGGTCATTGATGTGAAATTTTCATCTAAATCTGCGTAGTCTGAAAAAATTCGGATGTAATACCTTCAAATACTGGACTATTGGCAAAACAACAAAATTTAACAGATTTACACTGGAAATAGTTTAAAAATTATTGAAAAAATTGAGTTGAAGTCGCCCACTTTAAAGAGCTCTAGTTTCTTTATGAAATATTTTCGGATAAAGGTAATTTAGGTTAAATCAATACCAAATCAAGTATACTATCTGGAATTTGGTTGGGATCCGGTAAGATATCTGGAGCTATTTTCAATTTTCAACCCACATTGATGAGAATTCACTTATTCCCGATTATTGAATTACATTGTATACAACTAAATAATATTTTAAATTGACTTACCTGTGAAGCTACAAAAGTAAACGAACCAATTTCTTCCTTTGCCTTTCCTTTCAAAATTTGTTTCGTCATTATTCGGGTTCATAAGCTTTACTAGGCCCATTTTTAATGATGTATACCAATAAAATTAAGGTTAGTTATTTTTAGTTTTGGCTGATAAAAATGTAATGATTATCGCAAAAAATTTTAAAACATTCCCGACTGAGTTACAAGTTTTGTTTTTATAATGGTTTTGAAGAAGTTTCGTAAAATGTTAAGTTATTTAATGAGTATTGATAAGTACATGGTAGGGGATTTAAGCGAAATTAATATAGACTGGGAATTACGTTGTAGGCCAGTAAATAAATAAATCGAAAAATTTTACATTATTTTATCATTTTTTTAAAGTTCTTGGTAAAATAAAGTACTGAATGAATTAAAATTATATTAATGAATTGCTGGACGATAAAAAATGTAATATACATGCAAATTTGATATAATTTGACTAAAGTTGAATTTGCAGCAACTTACAACTCCGGCAAAATAATTAATTGCTGTTAATTAGAATTATTTAATCTCATTAAGGACCATTCGCACCGCTTTTACTTAGAATCTAAGTGACACTTAAGAAAACATAACCGTTAGCGCCGTTATTAAAATTCGAAAATTTTAGTTTTAGAAGCGGCATACGTTTGACCACCTATTGACCATGTTTGACCACCTACTAACTTTTTTTGACCACCCTCATAAACCTAAATATTTAAAAAAATATTAATGGCCGAGTGCCCGCTAGCCCCCCGAAATTAATATTTTTTAAAACTGACTGCACCATAAGATTAACCAATATTTGACCATGTTTGACTACCCCTTACATTTTTTTAACACCCCTTAAAATAATTTAAACGGTTTAAATTATAGAAAAACAAGAGTTCTGGGATGAATTTCAACTTTGATAGATAGATCAATGATCAGAAAGGCACAATAGGATCCAAAAACGTTTAAAATTATGTATCGCCGTTTGATCACTCTGTAAAATACCTTAAAAGACCCCAGATGGATTAAAATTAAAAAAAAAACATTTCCCCATCCAACTTCCAGTTCAAAAAAATGGTCAATCCACATAAGGACATAATAAATATCCATAAAGGTTTAAAATTATCTTTTGACGTTTGGCCATCCCCTAAAATAATTTAAGTGTTTCTAAGTAGTGTGAAAATTCGAAAAATACAATTTGGAAAGGGCATTTTGACATGGAAAAAATGGTCAAACGACATAAGTACACAATAAAGATCCATACGAGTTTAAAATTAAGTTTTGACGTGATGTGCCAAGTAGTGTGAAAATTCGAAAAATAAAATTTGGAAATCGAATTTCCTCTTGGAAAAAATGGTCAAACGACATAAGCTTACTATAAAGATCCATAACGATTTAGTTTGGACGTTTGACCACCCCCTAAAACAATTTTAACCCCATCAGACCCGAATTAAATTCTTAAAAAAAAATTTTTTTTTTGGTAATTTAAGTGTTTTAATGTATTAATAGGATAAGCAAACATGGAAAAAAATGTTTACAGTATTTCAGGATGTCCACTACAGTGGACAAATAAGCTGGGGTGTGATAAAACAGTATACAGATACAATGCAAAATTAACTTTTATTTATAAAACAGCATACGGATACAATATAAAATTAACTTTTATTTCCTATGGAAATTCATAAAACAATTTCTACCTTTTATAAAACATAAATGAACCTTACATTTGTCACAAAAAACATGGGTCTTGCCTTTGCAGCTCTGAAACGTGCACCTTGTTGCTTCTTTTTTATCGTCATAGTCAGGCATGTGATCAAACCTGTCACACTGAACTTCCTCAATTGGTCGTTTTTCTCCTCGTCTAAAAATGGGTGATGATGGATGAGGTGTAGGCGAATTAGATGGCCTTTCTCTTTTGATTTTGTTAACAGGCCTGCCAACTAATATCAAGCCATCCGCCAAATCCAAAATTTCTTTTTTAGGATAGCCGCATTTTTCGCAGTCCTTTTTATATTCTAGCCAACTCGCGACTGCTGCATAATCAACAAAATGCATGATCGCTCTCAGCGTCCATTTTCTGGAGCGGATAAAATGCGATGGAAGCTAATCAGCTGATCCAATAATTCTACTCCTCCCATACTGTGATTGTAATTCTTAATTATTTCCGGTCTATCTATTTCAATATATTTCGACTCTTTTTTATCCCATCGTTTCACTTTATCTTCCCTTGCCCTTTTCAATAAAATTTGATGCAAGGCATACTGATTTGTTGTCCAACCATTTCACGGCTACAATTTCATCTTCGCTAACTGTTTCATCTGAAAAACCTCTTTCTTTCTTATTTATTTCTTTCTTTGTCAGACAGTAAATCAGGCTTAAAAAATCGGTTCATTCGTATTGTTCCCGCTGCATATATTTGTTTTTCTTTCAGAACCTTCAGCAGCTCATATGAAAAGAAATAGTTGTCATAATACAATTTATGTCCTCCTTTTGATATTCTCTCTGTTAGATGAAGCACTACACTGGCACCAATTTGATTGTCCGAAAGATCACATAACGATGCCATAAATCCAAGCGTGTTTGAGACCCTTTCATAGGCTATTTTTCTTCAAATTAGTTCTGATGACAAATTATCTAATATAACGTAAAATGTGTTAATTTTCATATTTTGTTTTCCATCAAAATTCGTTTCAATTTCTTTACTCTCATCGAAAGCTTTCTTTCTTATTGGGATTCTGTTCACTTCAAGTTTGTATATACTATATTTTGTTAAATCTTTAGCATTTTGTTCGATTTCTTTAAATGTTTCGTCGGTTCGTTAGCTGCTTACATACCGTATCAGTGAATCGTAGAGTTTTGTCACTAAGAAAACGTCTGTGGACTATTTTTGTAATGTTTTGCTCACACTTCTAAAAGAATTCCAGTTTCCAATTTGTTCATTGCAGACCGCAAACCAGTAGCTTGAACCTTTGTTACTGGAGGTTGATTTGGATCATCTATTAAGTTTTGAATGGCATTTTGGTAGCTATCATAACAGCTATAGAGGGCTCTAGTTTCGTCCGCTCTTGCAGACCATCGAGTTGCAGTTAATTTTTTTTGGGAGCAAATTGTTTCTTGCTTTTCCGTCTCCATTCTCAGACTCACTTAAAGTTTGTTTCAAATATCCTATCTAGCAGTGGAAGATGAAAAAAAAACGTTCCTTTTAGAACATGAAAAACTCTGTTGTCTGTGAACAACTTTCCGCAGCACAAGAACCTATCAGATTTAAAGAATGAGCTGCACATGGTATGTATAGAGCTTTGGCATTGTTTTTTATGCGAGCTTGTAGGCCCGAATATTCGCCGGACATATTTGACGCATTGTCGTATGACTGTCCAACGCAGTCCTCGATAGGTAGAGTGAATTCATCAAGTGTTTTCAAAATTGCTACTTCCATATCTTCAGCTGTATGCCCAACCTTGCTAATAAATTTTATGAAACGTTCAACCACCGATCCAATTGGTTGCACATACCGCAAAATAAAAGTTAACTGGTTTACATATCAGGTGTTGAATCTACGCTTATTGAGTAATACTTGGCACTTTTTATTTCTTCTATTATTTTTTCTCTGGTGGATTTAGCCAACAATTAATTCTATAAATTCATTACAGTCTTTGACGGGTAGAAGGAATGTCCTTTTTCCTTATTTGCATGTTTTTCAAAATGAGTTTTTAGGAATGGGTCAAATTTGGCAATTAGTTCAAGTGTAGCCAAATAATTTCCACATTGCTCTTTACCTGATCTTTCTATGGTTCCCCGAAATGCTAATCCTTGTTTAGATAAAAATTTTATAGTTATTATTATCCTTTTCAGAAGGTTTCTCCAATACTCTTTTTCTATTAAGTATTGTTTTTCGATGTTGCTATCTATTTTTTCGAGTACTGCGGAACGTAATGTATATGTTTTTGTATTTTCTCGATGCTCTAGATTTCTCGTGTTACCCTATTCTTTCTAGATGCTTCCAATCATTAAATCCATTGACGAATTCTGAAAGGTTTGATCCGATTAATTTATACTGCAAAGAGTACATTTTGTTGGTTGATGGAGAGTATAAAGGCCATTCCCTCCGGATATTCTCGCCATTTACTAATTTCCCGAAAAACATTTTCTTAGATGCGTAACGACTGCGATTTTCATAGGGATACAGTCTTTTTGACTGTTCAAAATCTATCTGTTACAAATTGTGAGCGAAAGGATTCTTCACTATATACTCTACCAATTCAGTATTAATTGCCCACACACCTGGGTCTTGTGAGTGGTAATTAGAAGGCACAAGTTTCGTCAATTCTAACAAAAAAAATATTTACTTAGGTATAAAACATAATTACTAAATGTACCTTTGCACTTACCACCAACAGTAACCACATTGTTTATGGCAGCGACAATCGCATTTTTATCTGAATTTTCCGATCACGTCCCTGTTCCTGAAGTTGATGAAGATGCTATTACATTATTATGGTCATATTCTTCGTCTTCCATATGTGGCTGTATTATATTCGTCTCACTAGTTTTGGGTGCAATTTTAAAATAATTGTCTAGTTTTAGAACTTTTTTCAATAATTCTTTAGATTTCTCTTCCTCCTTTGTTGAGCTCCACTTAATTAACGTGAACTCATGATTCTAGCAAGGCCGGCCCCAGGGTAGGACGATCCGGGCGGCCGCCCGGAGCGCAATGATCTAGGGGCGCCATAATAATGGAAAATGAAAATAAACTGAAAAAAAAATTAAGTTAAAGGCTTTTATAAAATGCACTAAAAAGTAAAGAATATTTTTTATCATTCTGATATCATATCAATAAATTATTTTTTATAATATTGCATTGTCATCGGACCCTTGTAAGTATACCAAATTTCATTGAAATCGGTTCACGAGAATTTTCTCAAAAACGCGTTGCAAGATTTGACTGATAGTTGACAAGATTAAGAGGCGGCAGGCGGAATTTATCATTTTTATTTCTAAGCACATAATTCAAACAATATAATATATTTAAACATTAAGGTAAAATCTAGTTGAATTTAATTCAACATGACAAAACCACTCAACCACCGTGTTTCAAGAATTGACAAGCTTTTCGGCCCGTGGCAACACGACTGTACAGGAAACAACAATTTTAAAACCAAGCGAAGTAGACTTAAAACAATGCATTATTTGCCACTAGACTTCGGCTGGTGGGAAATAAAATAGTTTGTTTAAATTGTTAGTGCAAAAAAGCTTTAAAAAAGTGCTTGTGCAAATTGTCCAGTGCGTTTGGCTTCTGTGAAGGTAAGTGTTTTAATTTTTGTTTTCATTTTTAAAACTTAAAAAAATCCATCAGACATAAGCCCAAAAAAGGGTAGGGGGTAGATTTCAAAAATTAGAGTTTAGATTAAAACATGGCTTGTGTGGTATCAAATGAAAGGTAATTGAGTCTGGAGTTAAATCAAATGCATTTTATTTTTAAGCAAGTGGCGCACGAGGGGGGATTTCAAAAATTAGAGTTAACATTAAAAAATGACTAGTGTGGTATCAAATGAAAGGTAATTGAGTCTAGAGTTGAATGAAATACATTTTTTTAAGTAAGTGACGCATAAGGGGGGATTTCGAAAATTAGAGTTTAAATCAAATCATGGCTTGTGTGGTATCGAATGAAAGGTAATTGAGTCTGAAGTTGAATAAAATACATTTTTTTAAGCCAGTGGCGCACAAGGGGGGATTTCAGAAATTATAATTTAAGTCAAATCATGGCTTTTTTTATATCAGTATTATCTCTTATTTTAATTAATTTGTTCCAGAAACCAAAATGTCCGATGCTAAGAGAAAGCCCTCTGGAAGCGAATTTAAAAAGCGAAGATTGAACAAGCAAAAACAGCTTCAAAAACAGTCAGATGCGCTGCAGAATTTCTTGAAAGAAGGTACCCAGCAAACCCAAACATGTAACATATATGTATCATTTACATGTACTAGTTCCGTGTTACATAACAAAGTAACTTACATGTTACATAATAACTCACGTGATTACTGTGAAAAATGACCTAATTTTGTTATATAGCAGGTTCCTTATATGTGATGTAATGGGTTAAGTATATGTAAGGAACAGTGTTATATATCGGAAGACATGTAACATTTATATTACCATTGTAACATTTAATATGCTTCATTATTACAGCACATAAACATTACTTTTTTCATATAACATTAGTATTATAAATGTTATATAAATGAAGGTATGTAAATATGTCGTCTAAAAATGTACGTATTAGTTATACAGTATGTCTACTTAAGTTGGAACCATATGGAAAACTTTTGTATTATTGGTTTCGTGAAAAAATGTATTTTTGATAAAAAGTTCGGCACGGTCCAAAACTTAAAATGCAACCATCAGATATAATTTTTTTTAAGCCGTATACGAGATTTGTCTAAAAATATGAATTTTACTCAACAGTAAAGTACCTTTATTTTTTACAATACAGAAGAATATTATAAAGTAAGGTTATTTTGAATTAAAAGTTATATTTAAATATGCAGTTATAGTCATTTAGCATAAAAATTTAGATAAGGTGATTATTTACGTTTTACATTATAAATTGTTTGTAGTTATAAATTAATTAATCACCAAATTTTAATGCTAAATGGCTGTAATTGCATATTTAAATATAACTTTTAATTTAAAATAAGTTTACTTTATAATATTCTTCTGTATTGTAGAACATAAAGGTACTTTACTCTTAAGTAAAATTCGTATTTTTTTGGCGAACGTCGAATGAAGCCCAAAAAAATTGATATCTGATGGTTGCATTTTAAGTTTTGGACCATGCAGGACTTTTTATCTAGAATAAATTTTTTCACATAACCAAAAATAAAAAAGTTTTCCATATGGTTCTAACTTAGGTAGACACACTGTATGACAAATACAAAAAAACGTCGAAAATATTTGGAGGAATAAAAAAAAGTAATTTAAACGTATTTGTTAGGTATATCAATAATTTTATTGGATAAATTCATAACCGAAACCAAAAATATATTATAGAAATATTTCACACAAATATAATAACCCAAATTCATCATAAAAATCACAAAATATCTGCTATTAACGACGATCCACGGCCTCAAAATTCAGGGCCCCATCAAGCATGACCTGAAAAGAGAACAAAAATTAATATTTACACCTCAAATATATCATCGAAATACAGTACACACATATAACTCAATATCATTATAAAAACACAACATACCTGCTATTTTCCACAATAAATCCAAAAATGTCACAGGTACCTCCATAAAACGCCTATAGCCGCCATTGAACATTGAAACACTACTAAAAATAATGCACCAGATATACCTAAAAAACATGTGTATTTCAAGGACCGTTTGGTCAACAGCATTTATGTATACGGTATGTAACATTTTGAACGAAATAATTTAGTACAAATTGTTACTTTAATGTAGATTACACATAGATATATAAATTGATATAATCTTTATGTGATTAAATTTATATAACGGATATGTAATTTTGTAACATATATTTAATGACATACATGGTATATAACTATGGTGCTAAGTTTGAACTTAGGTGTTCGGTTCCATAAATAACACATAAAAGTGCATACAAGACAGTCTAGGTATATTTTATCCTTCTTAGTTATGTAACAGGAGGGAACATGTAACAGAATGGTTTGCTGGGTAGTTTCAACAACGTCCAGCACCTAGATACTGACTTTCCGGATACGGACCCCCCTTTGGACGCAACCGTCAGCATTACTGAGCTGGGTAAGTCATCTCGAACGAGTTTGGCGAGTAGTGATGCAGTTCCAAAAATCAAAATTCGTAAGTTGTGCAGACCTCAGAGAAACATTTATATAACGGATATGTAATTTTGTAACATATATTTAATGATATACATGGTATATAACTATGGTGCTAAGTTTGAACTTAGGTGTTCGGTTCCATAAATAACACATAAAAGTGCATACAAGACAGTCTAGGTATATTTTATCCTTCTTAGTTATGTAACAGGAGGGAACATGTAACAGAATGGTTTGCTGGGTAGTTTCAACAACGTCCAGCACCTAGATACTGACTTTCCGGATACGGACCCCCCTTTGGACGCAACCGTCAGCATTACTGAGCTGGGTAAGTCATCTCGAACGAGTTTGGCGAGTAGTGATGCAGTTCCAAAAATCAAAATTCGTAAGTTGTGCAGACCTCAGAGAAACATTTATATAACGGATATGTAATTTTGTAACATATATTTAATGATATACATGGTATATAACTATGGTGCTAAGTTTGAACTTAGGTGTTCGGTTCCATAAATAACACATAAAAGTGCATACAAGACAGTCTAGGTATATTTTATCCTTCTTAGTTATGTAACAGGAGGGAACATGTAACAGAATGGTTTGCTGGGTAGTTTCAACAACGTCCAGCACCTAGATACTGACTTTCCGGATACGGACCCCCCTTTGGACGCAACCGTCAGCATTACTGAGCTGGGTAAGTCATCTCGAACGAGTTTGGCGAGTAGT